AAAGTAAAGATGAATACATACAATTCGGCCCTCACGATATCCATTAGGAGAAGTTTAAGATGCAATTTTGGATATCTTAAATAATAAAAAATTAAATTAATTTAATCCAACATGAAGTACCAGTGTTATGTTATGGGTATGGTTATGTCATACCGATTAAAAGAATTCTATTTCCAATATAGTGTGGGAATTGAGATTCATCATTTTATTTAAAGCAGTTCTACATTTAACATCGCTCATATCATGAATGTATAAGCATTTTCGCCTGAAGAGTAATTTAAAAAACAATAATTATTATTTTTAGGTAAACGGCAAATATTAGTATATTATATTAAACAATTGTAGACATGGGTACAGAACAACGTCTGACGGGTCATCTAGTATATATATATATATATATATATATATATATATATATATATATATATTAGTGATGTGCCAAGTCGAATCAAGTGATTCGAATCATTCGAATCAAGCCTTTAACGACTTGATTCGAATCAGATTTTACTTGATTCGAATCAACTCGTATCAAGCCGCGAAATATTTACTGTGATAAAACATGTGTGAACACAAATTTTCATAAATATAAAAAAATGTTTTAATTTAATTCAATATTATAATAATATGAATAATAATAATAATAAATATAAAAAATAATAATAATAAATATAAAAAATAAATCTTGAATTAAATCATGCGAGTCACCTGGCTTTAATACGCTTAAATGAGTCACCCGACTCGAATTTATATGACTTTAACCGCATTCAAGTCGATATGAATTGATTCGAGTTCCTATGACTCAAACCGACTCATCTCGACTTCAAGTCGATATGAATTGATTCGAGTTCCTATGACTCAAACCGACTCATCTCGACTTCAAGTCGATATGAATTGATTCGAGTTCCTATGACTCAAACCGACTCATCCCGACATCAAGTCGATATGAATTGATTCGAGTTCCTATGACTCAAACCGACTTATCCCGACTTCAAGTCGATATGAATTTATCCGAGTTCATATGACTCAAACTGAATCATTCCGACTTGAGTTCGAAACATGTGTCCGTGATTTAGCGTATCGACTTATCGAGATGCAGTGCGAATGGGTCCTTGAGTGTTTGTTTATTTTTGACTAAGCGCTGAGTGCAAATTTGTTCATGAAATATCAAAAACTCATTTAGATAATAAATACGCGATTTAGATTTTAATTATTATCAAAATAAACTACACAATGTGTTTATACACATACAAAATTAACATATTTGAATTTTGCAAGTAATGGCAAATTCACGCAAATGAAATAATATCAATATTTACAGTAGTGGATTGAAGTTTAAGTCATTCGTAAGACGTTAGATTCAGCCCCCTGTTTAGATTAGATGTAAACAATCAAAGATTGAGAATATTGTTTTATATGCTTTAGTGATAGAGAAGTGTTTGGTTATATTTTACTGTAAATTCACTTGAAATATTAGTTATATATATTGTTATGTTGATATTATTAATCTAAAATTTTAGATTCCACATCAGTAGTTAATAGGGGACCAACGCCAAATGCAACGCGTCTAATTAACACTTGTAAGTAATCTATTAAAAAGTATACTAATGTTACATATCATATCGCCTAATATTATATTTAAGATTGTGATGATGGGAATAGGATGTTTGACCATGGTTCTGGGTGCAGCACAGAGCCCATGGAGGAGTACAAAAGTGAGTTATTTCATTACATTAATTACATCAATGTTAATGTACATTATGAAGTTAAGACAACTTTAAAAAAACAGATTTGGAGATTGGATATAAAAATCAATCTTAAATTTGAGCAGCTGAATGCCACCATTGACAGCAAGTTCCAAGCTGTAATAGACGGCATTAATAAGCAGTGCTGCCAGTGTAAAAAGGCGAATGATTCGCCTGATTATACACTGGCAGTGTACAATAAATTTCCGGTGTCGACGGAGGCAGAACTGCAAGATGTGGAACAGTTATTGACAGATGCGTCAATAGCAGAAAAATTGGTAAATATGATGTTCCTCAATGGATAAAATGGACAAATCAATTACATATACTGAATCATTTATAGAAAGCACGCCTAGGACGAAGCGCTACCATATCCCTTTTAAAAAAGGTATTTAAGAATGTGGTAGCGAAGGAGTACAACTGGGTTGGAGGCAAAGCCAAAAAGAATTTTTCGGCCCTCCTAATAGTAAAAATAATTATAAGTATTAATTAATACATTAAATGACTTACTTTAAACTATTTATTATTTAAACAAATAATTAATTGAACCAATAATGTTTTCAGATATTGTATCTGAACAACAGCGTGTGACGCAGAGCCAAGTTGAACAGTGTGTCAAGTGATGGCTGCGTCATGCCCATGACAGATTTGTCCAAAATGCTCCGTAAGGTGAAATATATTCCAGATATTTCCAAAATGTCAATTAACATTATTTATTATATAAAATAAACCTGTAAAACTATAGTTTATAATAATTCAAAATTTGTTCTTTCCAGTGCCTTAGAAGGTGGTGATAAACCCAATGTAAATAATAATAATGATAATGATAATGAAAATAATTAAAATAAAAAATTAAATAATTACTTTAAATTTAATGATACTAGATAATAAGATAAGTTTTAGGATGATGATTACCAACGATTTAGTTAAGTTACTTTAATTTAGTTATTTTTAGTAGTGTAAATAAATTACCATTTTAGTTCATTCAATACTTATAACTATATGAATTATTTATTACAAATACGCACTGAAAGTATGCAACCATTATTGCACTATATACCGCCATTTTAACCCATAGCAATACCATTCCAGTCCCATAGCATACCCGTATTGAACCCGTCAGGTTGACCATGAGTCAAACCAAGGCTCTGACATAAGTGTCGCCATGGGTTAACCTATGTTCATATATGGTACCAGTGGATTGACCATGGGTTAATCGTACAGCCCATTGTGACCCTATGTCAACCATGTGCTGTATGGGTTAAGAAGTATGTATTTCGCAAAAATATTCTTAAACTGTTTTAGATACTGGTTAGTTTTTGGTGAAGATCGAATTCCTTCTATAAAATATTTTATGTTGATAGATATATTGGTTCTAAAGAATATACTAAAATTTTAGGACCCTACAAGTCGTTTAATTTGATTAAACCTATAATCATCAAAGTTTGAAATAATATTAAAAAATTGTGTCAAAGATTTAATTGAAAGCAAAAACTATATTTTCAAAATAAACAGTTGAAAATTTTATCTAAATATCAAAATTTTAATTTTGGTTGATTAATTTAATTATTACACATATCGGGAAATTCATGCAAGTTGCCTAAAAGCAAAATGCAATTTCATTTATTATGAATATATTTTATGGCAGTGTTATATTTTGAATTGAAGTTGTTTTATTTCTATGTAACTTTATTAGCATATTTTAATCCTTTTCACTCATACCTTGCAAAACTAATACTGATTATATCGCCTGATTAAATTATAATTAAACTAAATTATAATTATTTCTAGTGAACCTACAATCAATGCAAAACCGCTCCGATGTTGACCAGCAAGAAAGAGGAAAGCAGTGAAATTCGAGCAAAAGTTAACTCCACAGTGTGTTAAGTGCGCTGTAGAACATTACACCCAAAAAAGTTTATGGTAAGACAAAATTAACAAGAACGTCAAGTGTGTGCTCCGCGGTCAAAATCACCCCACAAACTACAAGGGATGCCAAGTCTACAAGGAAGAGCTCAATCGGAAATTCCCTCCGTTACGACAGAGACTACAACCAATTAACAATCCGAATATTAACAGAAATTCTGCAGTAATTCAAGGCTTATCTTACTCGCGAATTACTAGCCGAAACACAAACACAAACACAACACAAGAAATACCAAGCAGCACTAATCAAGAAATCGAAAGTAATACCAAAGATATCTCTGAACTTAATACTATGCTGAAAACATTATTCGAACAGATGGGCACTATGTTTAATTTTTCAACTACAATTTTAATATGAACTTTCCGATATGTTTAAATGATCTACTTAATCGATAAAAAATAAATTAATTTATGAGTGTTTAAAAGTATTCCGAGTGCATTTATTACACATAACTGAAAACGAATGAACCCGTTAACTTGGAGTATTTTCTAAAAGCAAATTTTCAAATATCAATAATTTTTATAATTGAATCAGTTTCCGTAAGACTTTAATGGTTTAGTATGTTCATTAATCTTTAAAAAAACGCCCGAAAAAAATGGCAAAAACACAAGTTTTCTTTTGGATGCTACAGTGGTGTGACCCCTTAACTGCTGTTGAATCGACAACTGAGGAAAGTTATTTAGCCTTAGGAACAAGCTGAGGCAGTTACTTCTGGTGATGTATCAGCTGATTTAGCTAACATGAAACCAGGGCCAATTGCATATTATTCATCAATAATTATTATTCATCAATAATGAAGAATATATTCTGATAAAGTCACTCAATTCATAACATTCTTAAATTATTAGGTACATTTCATTGTGGAGCACAACTGAGGTAACATGCAACATATTATAATCAAAATCAGGTACATGTTCTCAACTTAAAAACTATGAGTTAAACCCAAAATAGACAAATGCTAACAAGAATTGTATTTTTTGCAATAAATATAATAAAAGATGAATATCTGAAAAATTAATTAAAATCGAAAGTTAAAAATTTTTGTAAAGCAACTTAGTTTTAAAATATGCATACACATGACATGGCCGAACAATTAATTTGATTTGATTTGCAGAATTTACTGTGTTTTACAAAGAAGAAAATATCATAATGTATGCTTTTTTTCTCAGGGTGCAATGATCAAAAGTATTATTCACTATTATTTATAAAAATGTTTCATATTTTAAATATAATTTTGGTCATTTTATTACTTAGAGCATAAAAGTACTTTTGTATGTAACATGTACATTTTGTTCCTTTTAATACTGATAACAAACCAAATTTTTGATTCGCTAAAAAATAAGTAGACTTTGATGACGTTTGGCAGGTGATTCTATTATATCTAGACAATTTTCAGGACAAGAATTATTATAATGTTCATTTATTGAATCTTCCAAATCAAAAACAGTAATTTCCTTTTTTTCATTTTCCTGATTTAATAAATCATTATAACGCTTAATAGCATCGGGATCCTGTAACCATTTATGATTAAGAACTACGGAACTGCTATATCTAGTTTTTGGATCTACTTGTAACATTTTAGAAATTAAATCTTTGCATTCAGCATTAACTGAAGACCAAATACATTATTTGAAAGAGTATTTTCCTTTGCAAATTTGATCAGCTGCTGAGAAGGGTAAGCATCCACAAAGACAAACAAATAATATTACACCTAGACTCCAAACATCAACTTTTTCAGTATAAGTTTTATAATTCTTTAATATCACTTCGGGAGCAACATACCATGCAGTACCACATTCAGTTTTTAACACTGTGTCACCTTCAACAATTTTACTTAAGCCAAAATCTGATAGTTTGACTATTGAATCATCACTATTGCTTTGTAACAGAATATTCTCAGGTTTTAAATCTCTATGTGTAATGTTCTGCCAATGTAAGTAATTAACAGCAACAGCTAGTTAGTATATAATATTCTTAACTATTGGTTGTTTCAGATATTTCGACTCTTTAATTTTATTATGATTTATCACCTCCATTCATAAGTTCCAATATCAAAAATACTGCTTCAGGAGTTTCAACAATGTTGTAGATACTAACTATGAATGGATGATCTAATTTTTTCATAATATTAATTTCTTTCATAATACGATTAGGATGGTTTAATTTCTTTTCACCATCTGCTTTACTCTTGATGATCTGCTTCATAGTAAATTTATCACATGTACTTTTGTTAATAATTAATCTCACAGCACCACATGCACCGCTTCCAAGCAAACGAGAAATGTAGTAGTCATCTTTGATGAGATTTGGGATTTTATCCACAGTATGTGTGAAACGATAAAAAAATCTAAACAATTTTCTGAAATCACTACCTATTGCTATAACATCTTCATTTTGCAATATTCTTTGGTTTCCTTTTTCAACTTTTTCACCATTTATGAATGTTCCATTTCGAGAAAAATCTTCTAAATAAACAGGAGAATTCCTACTGTCTCGTTTAAGTTTAAAATGTGTCCTAGATATAAAAAGTAGGTGTTCAAAAGACTTTTCGTCTGTAGTCAAATTTATGTCACAATTTTCTCTGCCAACTGCATACTCCAATTTGGAAAGATCTACGATAAAACATTATTGATATTTGAGAAAACCAACAAGCATGCAAACAATTGTAAATCATCTTCCATTCTTCCAAACATTCTGGCTGGGGCTCACGAAGGCTAGTAGGTATTGAAGTGACTAAAATTCCTGTCCACGCTCAGAGAACTAAAAGGCATGTTCGATAACTCTATACAAAACTAATAACGCTTCGTAAACGAATTGCTGAATTTGAATACTGTTCTTTGGCACTTGATAAAAGTTCTGACATTAGCGACACAGCACAACTCGCTATATACATACGTGGTATTTCAAACAATCAGTGGCATACTTCTTCGCTGAAAGCAATGTTAAAAGTTCTGAACTCAAGGCTTGCAATTTCAAACCGGCAAGCAATTGGTATCAACATTGTAGCTACCGAATATGATGTACACACAACAGTTGTATCTGCAATAAACGTGTTGTCTAATTTACAAACTTCAGGGTTCTCTTGTTGGCGAGCAAGAAACTGAACCCCTATATGATCCTCCACATCAACTGAATTTTTTTTATCATATGTTGTAACTTTCATACAACAAAATCAACAGAAAAGGACATCCTGAAATCGAATTGTATGAAATTGATTCAAAGTTGCCACTTTTCCGCATGCGCTGTAATTTGCGAGCACATAAGGTATATACTGAAAAGATTAGGAAGATGAGAGTGAGGGACTGCCGTAGAGTTCTCTTATAGATATACGCTACTAAGCAAAGTAAGAAAGTAAAAATAATGTAAAATGCAAAGTAAGAAAGTAAAAATAATGTAAAATGTATTCTATTGAATTCATAATTAAACTTTATCATTCATAATAAGCTTCCAGTTTTGCAAAGAAAACTTTAAAGCTCTATGAAGAGCTCTCTATTTCTCTCTAGCCGATTCTAACCATTAAGCATTTTGTAAAGAGGCTAGACGTGTCTTAGTTTCTTTAAAAAAGACGAGAAGATATAAAACTCTCTCAAACTATTCAAAATTGGATTAAAACAATAAAAGATTTTTAAAATATTTGGCAGTAAAAATAAGTATCCGGAAATTAAGTTTTAAACCAAGTTAGTTATTTAAACCAAGACGAGAAGATCAAAACTATCTCCAACTATTCAAAATTAGATTAAAACAATAGAAGGTTTCTAAAATATTTGGCAGTAAAATAAAGTATCCAAAAATTAAGTTTTACTCAACTCGTTATTTAAACCAAGACCCTCTAGAATTTGTTTTTGTAGTATTAGACGGAATTAATAATCGAAATGCTTCCTGCATTGTTCTCAATAAATTTCATTCTGTCCATTTTTACTCTGGCAATTGTAAGCTTGATAAAACAGAAAGTGCGATTGATTCGTTAAAAACATTATTATTGTGCTATGCTTCGGTCAAAGTCGTGTGTGAGTCTAGTTAGAATGAAGATATTCTAATTTCGTCTAATGTGAATACTTATGGATTTTTATTAAAATAAGAAAGTAGCAATTTACTTCATGTTAACAGATACATTACTGTTTTTTTTTACCAACAAGATGTTGAAAAATGTTGAATTTTGCTCGATGTGTAAGTCCCATATTTAGGCAATAGACAAGAGTGGGGATGATTATTGGCTAATAAGTGTTGAAGATCGCATTGGAGAATCTCTAGTTTTTCTACTAGAAGTGAACATTATTTAAATAATCATTATATTTTCAGAATATTTTTTGCTCAATTCATATTTTAAAAATAATTATGTTAAACTACTTGTTCCATTTTAAGAAAAAGACAAATTAAAGTTTGTAACACCAAACGTGACCTACGCATTTTTTTTAGTTTAGTAGACATCAATTCCCCATTGATGAACATCAATTCCATCAAATAATTATGTTAACATATGCCTGATATATCATATACATATAAAACCTACAAGACAAACCAAAACATTTAAATTTAAATTTTGTGTAGTGAATTTCGGTGGTAAAGGATTGAAAACGCGTGACCTCTATATGTTCTAAACAAATGGAAAACGAAGAAGAACAAACTTCTACTCTGGGAGAAATGAGAATGACTGAATTATTGCTCGATAGTAGCCCAGGTACCGGGAACAAAGAAGGAGAAGTGCCCGCTTCGAATCGAATTAGAATCGAATTTCCAGAAGAAACTTCTACTCGGCAACAAAGGAGAATGTCAAAACTATATCTCCGTTGTAGCCCAGAAGAGGCACTTCAAATATTTAAACGAATACCCAAATTCTTACCATTTACATTTAATAAAGAATGTAATTAATAACAGGTTAAATTTTTTAAAAAATAAATTCTTTGCTTCACAGTCTGATAATTCTATTTTTGATGATTTTTCAAAACGTTCTTTTTTGGCTAATTCAGATCCGTCTTTTACAAATAAATATAAAGGTATTTTTCATTGCCATATTTAGGCAGTTTTTCACTTTTTTTGAAAAAAATGTTTTTAAATGAAGGTTTTCCGTTAGTTTTTTCTTTTGACAATACTTTAAACTCACTTTTCACTCCCTTAAAGTCTAAAACTCCAGTTGAGCGTGTTACTGATGTTCTTTACAAAGTGGATTCCAATGATTGTATTTGTTGTTATATTGGTGAAAGTTCGCAATATAGTTACAAGAGTATGAACCAACACATTTGCAATTCAAAAAATGAAAATCAGTTTAAGACAATGTTTTCGTTGTGATTAGTTAAAACCATACTTTCAATACCAAAAATCCTATTATTTTACATAAGGAAAAGAATGTTGACCTAAGAAAATTTGCTGAATCTGTATTTATTTTTTTAAACCCCCTTTACGTTTAACTCTGCTTTCCAGTACATGACTCTTATCTTATCTCATAATATTTTTTTTTTCAAAATATAAATAATTTTCGAAATCGTTGACTATTGTGTTTCATGTTTTATTTGATATTTTTCAAATTTGTGTCCTCACGATTCAACTATCCCTGAAAATACCTTTTCAATCACTCCTTGTGTGTCACGTGGCTTTCGTTGGCGTTGGATTCGCACATAATTACATTACACAAATATACTAAAAATTAAAAACAAAACATGTTCAGTTAATATTGTTTATTTTATATATTTATTTTGTATGTATTATATGATTGGTTTGTCTATATGTATTTATTCAAAAAATGTTTTTTCTTGGTGTGGTATGTATATCTTTTAATTATTTTAAATATAAAATTAAGTTTATTTTTGAAAAACTTCGAAAATATTTTTTAGATACTGTTAACAAAGAATTGCTGAATGATGGCACACAATCCGTGTCGAAACGTATATTATAAATAAATATTTGTATTTATTTGTTTCTTTTATTTCGACGACTGACTGATAATCATTATTCAAGATATGTCTCAACGTCGAACAAAAAAAAATCATATATATATATATATATATATATATATATATATATAACAAATGTATTCTGAATGGATAATAGATATTAATTTGGAAATATGAACAACCAACACTCTTTTTTGCACTAATTTATTAAATAATAATTTTCACAAACGTTTCGAGACTAGGTTTGTCATATACTGTTAGTATATCGAGCGACTTGTAATGGATAACACGAAATGCTAATTTAGGTTTCCATATTTTTTTATATTTTAAATTATAACACACTGATGATGAGACAAACCTAGTATCGAAACGTTTGTGAAAATTATTTAATAAATTAGTGCAAAAAAAAGTGTTTGTTCATATTTTCAAATTTATATATATATATATATATATATATATATATAAGATTTTTTTTTGTTCGACGTTGAGACATATCTTGAATAATGATTTATATAACTTGAATAATGATTAAACTTGAAGCATCTTTTAATATCATAAACGGAAGAGGGAAGGGATATTAGGAAACTGAATGATCGTCAATTTCATAATACTATTGTTAAACTTTTAAAAGCTCAAAGTTTCTACGATACTTCTGAGTTTACCAATTTCGATATCAAACATAATTTTGATAATAAAATACCTGCTGATAATAATTGATACTTTTTTTCCAACAGTTACATTTTTTTCCCTTTTCAATACTTTTTCTAATTTTTATTTTAAATTATTTTGACATTTTTCTACTTTCAGTATTTTATCATTACAATTATTTTCATATTATATATTCTTTTTTGATACTGCTCTTAATTATTATTTTCCAGATATGAGAATCAAATAAAAACTTCATAACGGATATTTAAAGGATTTTTTTTACCCTAAGAAGACTCAAGATCTACAAGCCTTAAACTATTTGAATTTTATTACATGTTTTTTTCTTCAAGTTATTGTATTAGATATAACTAATGTTAGGCTTAATATTGTTTAATAGTTGTATTTTACTGTACTTAATTCAATTAAGAATTTATTTTCTGTAATTATTAAATTTAATCCTGTATCCGTAATATAAATATAAATTTATAATATATATATATATATATATATATATATATATATATATAATGTTAATTATAATATGATATTCATTATGATTTAAAACGCTTATTCGCTTATTAAATAATTTTAACCGTTGACCCTTAAAACGTAAAGTTTATTAGTAAGGATCTGAGTTCGTACGTTTGTGCAACGGATTTGTGTTTATTTTTCTATTTTGTGATCATTTATTGTAAAACTGCCCTCAACAAATAATGGCTCTATAAGTATATATTACATTTTTCTATTCATATTCTATTACATTTAATCTCTAGTATATTATATGTCATTCCAGTGAATAATAAGTGGTTAAATTACACGACATTTCAAGGATTACTTTCAAAGTTTGATACTTCGTGTAAAATCATGTATGCAAACTCGTGCTTGAAATTAATTGTTTAAGTTTTATATAAAGTACCTCCTTAATATTTATTTTGCATTACACGAAATTTTAGCTGAAATTTAGGTTATGATAGTTTAGGTTTAACAACTTATTGCATTGTGAGGTGACGTCATCCTGTACAGATATTTGAATTTTTGTCATCCCAATGAATAAGTGGTTAAGTTACACGATTTTAGAGGGCTTTCTTTTAAAGTTTGATTGTTTGTGTAAAATCATGTACCCAAAAACGTGTTAAATTTTGGCCGAAACTAGACTT